GTCACTGGAGAAGGACATAATGCCTGGTAGAGTAGATGGTGAGTGAAAAAAAGGAAGATCCTCAATGAAATGGATTCACACAGTGGCTGCAACAATGGGCTCAAGCATAACAATGATTATGAGGATGGCACAGGACCACGCAGTGTTTCGTTCTGTTGTGCATAGGGTCGCTGTGAGTTGGAACCGAGTCGATGACACCTAACAACAACAGGATAGCTGTGGATAGTTCCTGTGCCTAAACTAGGATTGCCAGATGGACTAAAAGTAAAGCAGGCCACATGGCTGGCTTTGCTTCTCTTCACTAAACCCTGACCCAAATTTTGGATGTTAGTGCTGTAAACTGTGAAAAGTTGAATCCCAACTGCACCCACCTAAACCAGAGGAAAAGTGTATAAGAAAGACCACTGTCTTCCCTGTATCCACCTGCACACCCATTGTACCCAGCTAGGTAAGGGAGAGCATTTGAATGTAGGAGGAGAGCTAGCTGGTTTTTTTCTCCTTGGATACAGGTACCAGGCCTCATCGTGCATCTCTAGGCTCCTAGGCAGAAAGAAAGAACTGGCTAAGCATCTTTCCACAAGAGTAGCACTTTTTTTCCCCTTTTATTTCATTCTTTATTTTTTTTTAGCTTTTTGTTATAGAAAACTTCAAACATAAAAAAGAAGAGAGAATAGTATTATAAACTCCCCTGCACTCATCAACCGTTATTAGCATTTTGCCAGTCTTGTTTCATTTATTTCTCTCCACTTTGTTTTATTTTCATGTTTTCTAAGTTGTTTTTAAACCAAGTCACTGGCATCATGTCATTTTACCTGCAAATACTTCAGTATATATCTCTATTTGATAAGAACATTAAAAAAAAAACAACTATATGCTATTAACAAATCTAACAACATTAGCAGTAACTCTTTAAATTGCTGAATGCTCAATCCATATTAAACTTTTCATGATTCTCTTAGTAACATCTTTTTAGAGTTCATTTGTTCAACACAGGATCCAATCAAGGTTTGCATTTGGTTATTGTGTCCTCATTCTGTAACAGCTCTCCTTCCTTTTTTCCCAGCTATTGATTTGTAGAAGAGACCAGGTAATCTCTCCTGTAGAGGGCTGAGTGGCTCTTTCATCACTCTGACCTCACCTGACAACTTTCACCCTGGTGCAGTTACCCCACTCTTATCAACAGTGACCCACTTTAGCAGGACTACTCCATCTCTTTGATGTGGGATATTTTGCTCTAGATCTATCTCATCCTTGGGAAGTAGAGGGGGACCCTGAAGTCCTGCCATCAAGTCCTGTTGTCTACCTCCTGAATAGCACTTGAATTCATCCACTTCTCCTCATCTCTAATCCACTACCTCCTGTCTTGCCCCATGCTCTATTCATCACACTGCCACCAGAGTGATCCTTCCAGAATACATGTTCAATTATGTCTCTCCCATGTTTACAATCTCTCAATAACTTGACAAGCCACCAGAGTAAAGTTCTAATTCTTTAAAACAGTTCACAAGGCCCTTCACGACTCGGCTTCTCCAGCCTTGCCTGATATTTCCCCCTCACATGATATTGTCCAACCATATTGAGCTTCCAGCACCTCAAACCTGCCATATGCTGTCACCTCTAGGGATCACCCATGCTAGCCCCACTGCCTCATCTAGCTAACTCCAGTACATCCTCAAGTCTCTGCTGAAATGCCCCTCCCTGTTCTATGTTACCACAGCACCCTCACAATACTGCCTGTCTCCTGCGCTAGACTGTTGGTCCTGGAGAGCAAGGGCTGTGTCTGTCTTGTTCACTGCAGCATCTCTATTACCTGGCACAGTGCCTGGCACGAAGTACCTGCTAATAACGTTGTAAACTGCATGAATGAATTATTATGCTAATTTCTTAAGAGTAAGGTAGGAAAGCGCAGGTGATAGTGGCTTTTTTTCTAGAAAACATATAATAAAATAAACAATTTTAATACCTTGGATTGGTTTTACACATTTCCTCCTAACAGCTCAGAATTTGACATTTGAAGCTAATACTTGCTTTCATGTTAACTTTTTTAAAAACTTTTTATTGAATGGGTAATATGTATACCCAAATTGATTTTTTTTTTTTTTTTATACTCGGGATAATCATTCAAATTTACTGTAAACCAAGGCAGGGCCAAGGTGGCGGAGTAGTCAAACACTTCTGGTGGTCCCTCTTATAACAAACACTCAAAAAAACAAGTGAATCGATTATATATGATAATCTAGGAGCCCTGAACATCAAAGGCAAAGTTGAGGAATCGGACTGAGTGGCAGGGGGAGGGAGGGATGGTTCAGAAGTAGCAAGGAGTTGCCAGACCTGACCCAACAGGTACCAGCACCCTGCAGGCTGGATCACCTGGTGTGTGCAGTGAGGCAAGCAGTGATGTTCGGGGCGCATATTCCACATCAGGAGAGACTGAGCGGTGAAGAGTCTACTTAAGCCTCCAGAACCAGTGAAAAGCAGCACTCAATTGGCAAAAAATATGTACATGTGTCTAACCTATTGCACGGATCAAAAAACACCCCGTTTGGGAAGAACCTCTCTCCCATTTACCTGCTCCCTCCCTGCTCTGTACCAGGTCCTGGGCCAGCTTCATCACTTGCAGTGTCCCCTGGGCCAGAAGTAGGACCTGTCATGCATCCTGAGCCATTCTCCTGGCCTTGGAGAAGGAAAAAATTAACAAACAGGAAAAAGTAATCTGTCAGCTCCCCTAAGCCAGGAACTCAGGGCAGGCACAGCTCCCTAGGCACAGGCATAAGAGGTCCACAGACTTTGAATGCCTTTCACTCCTGCATAGATCTGTATGGGCCCATTTCAACAGCATAGGCACTCATTAGCACAGTACAACAGGGTATATACCTGAAGCCTAAATTCAGCTGTATCAGCTATATGGGAGAGTGGCAGGTTTGTGACATTTGACACTGCTCTGCCCATTAAGGGGGATCCTCACCTACCCACATCAAGGGCCTAAGGACTGGTGGCTCCACCCACACCACTTAACCACCTGTGACAGGGGTCCAAGAATAAGAGGTGCCTCCCAGTCCTTACAGCCAGCAGCATTGGGTACCCATGGTCCGGCTGCAAAACCCACCGACCTATGCACTCTAGGGAATAGGGACACGCTTTCCTCGCAGACACTCAGGGGCACCCATCAGCCTCCTGCCTTGCTCAGCACATGACCCCCTACTGCAGCCAGATACCTGTACCTACTCCAATCACCCCTGTTCATCTAGGACTGTAGGTGAAAGCCTGCACCACACACTTGGTGACCAACTACTTGGACACCTGAGCTGAATCCACACAAGAAAAGTAAATGGACTCCTGGGCTCACATACCTAGTAACAGATCTAACCACCTGGTGACAGGACGTTAGGGCTTCAAAGGTGCCAATAATCAAACTAGCTCACACGAGCAGCCTATTTGGGCATATCAAAATGAAATAAAACAAGAAGCTAGGACATAATAAGCAAACATAAAATAAATAAATATATAACTTATTGATGGCTCGGAAACAACAGTCAATATCAAATCACATGAAGAGGCAGACCATGATGGCTTCAGCAAGCTCCCAAAACAAAAAATCAAGGAATCTTCCAGAGGAAGAGAATCTCTTGGAATTACCAGAGGTAGAATACAAAGGATTAATATACAGAATGCTTAAAGAGATCAGGAAGGAGATAAGGAGATCAGGCAAAACACAGAACAAGCCAAGGAATACAAAGACAAAGCAATAGAGGAACTTAAGAAGATTATAGAAGAGCATAATGACAAATTTAACAGGCTTCAAGAATCCATAAACAGCAAACAGAAATCCAGAAGATTAACAATAAAATTTCAGAATTAGACAACTCAGTAGAAAGTCATAGGAGTAGAATTGAGGCAATAGAAGTCAGAATTAGTGAGATTGAAGATAAAGCACTTGACACAAATTTATTTGAGGAAAAATCAGATAAAAGAACTTAAAAAAGTGAAGAAACCCTAAGAATTATGTGGACCCTATCAAGAGGAATAACCTATGAGTGATTGGAGTACCAGAACAGGGGGGGATAACAGAAAATACAGAGAATTGTTGAAGATTTGTTGGCAGCAAACTTCCCTGATATCGTGAAAGATGAGAAGATATCTATCCAAGATGCTCATCGAACCCCACACAAGGTAAATCCCAAAAGAAAGCCACCAAGATGTATTATAATCAAACTTGCCAAAACCAAAGATACAGAGAGAATTTTAAGAGCTGCTTGGGATAAGTGAAAAGTTATCTACAAAGGAGAGTCAATACGACTAATCTCGGACTAAGCAGAAACCATGCAGGCAAGAAGGCAAGGCGATGACATATATAAAGCCTTGAAGGAAAAAAACTGCTAGCCAAGAATTATATATCCAGCAAAACTGCCTCTCAAATATGATGGTGAGATTAGAGCATTTCCAGATAAACAGAAGTTTAGGGAATTTGCAAAAACCAAACCAAAATTATAAGAAATACTAAAGGGAGTCCTCAGGTTAGAAAATCAATAACATCAGATAGCAACCTAAGACTAGAACACAGGACAGAGCAACCAGATATAAACCCAGATAGGGAAGTCACAAAAATAAATCAAAGCTAAAATGCTGAAAATGGGGGAACAGAGATGTCAATATGTAAAAGATGACAACATTAAAACAAAAAAAGAGGGACTAAAAAATGTAGTCATAGATCTTTCATATGGAGAGGAAGTCAAGGTGATACAAAGAAATAAAAGATTGGTTTAAACTTAGAAAAATTGGGGTAAATATTAAGGTAACAATCCTACACATCAGATTTACTGTAAGTCATGCTCTTGGTTGCAGATATAATCTGTGCTGACCCTAGAGAGAGCTCCTGTACTTGGGGCCAAATTAAAGTGAAAGTATTACCTCAAATAGAGCACATTTTCAAATGTGTGTTGTTCATGTGCTTTTGTGAAAGAGTGTCTGTATTAAGAGGCCTGTCTACCGTGTTTCTACAGGCTGTTTGGGGGCTTGGTACTGGACATCAAGCGGAAGGCCCCCTGGTACTGGAGCGACTACCGGGATGCACTCAGCTTGCAGTGTTTGGCCTCCTTTCTGTTCCTGTACTGTGCCTGCATGTCACCTGTCATCACTTTTGGGGGATTGCTTGGAGAAGCCACTGAGGGACGCATAGTAAGAGATTTTAACCACTTCTAATGATTCCAAACAAGACTTAAAAAATTGTAGTGACAGCCAAGCCCACTGAGGGGAAAACTCCTGGTGCTAGAACTAGGGAGACTGAATTCTTCCTACTGAATTACCATGGTCTTCCAACTTTATACCAATCAGCAATATGGTTCTCCCTACAGAACAGACTCTCTTCTGCTTGAATATCAATTTCAGTAGCTAATTGCACAGTAGGATTTTCCCTTGCCCCAAGGATTAAAAATGGATATATTGATGCCATTTGGAAATAAGATTTTCTGTGTATGACAGCTTATAATGTGAACAGTATCACTGTGGTTTGTGTATGTTTTTGAATACTGAATTGAGTCACTGCAGAACAAAACTTAGTTGAGGAATCATATGTGGATGGATTTGGGCACCTGAATTATTAAAGTGATATCTGTTTACAGGAGTTTTAGACAGTGTGTACACATCTCTCTTCCTAAGATGAAATACAAGCAAACGACTGTCAAAGTACACATGAAAGCTAAGTCAGGAATGTACATAAACCAACATTACGCTTTACCGATGGACTAACGACTCAGTGATTTTTTTTTTCTTTTCAGAGTGCAATTGAATCCTTGTTTGGAGCCTCCATGACTGGGATTGCCTATTCCTTGTTTGCAGGGCAGGCTCTTACCATCTTGGGAAGTACTGGGCCAGTGCTTGTGTTTGAAAAGATTTTGTTCAAATTCTGCAAGTAAGACATTTGTTTTTCTAAAAACTAACTGGATGCGGTTAGAGTGCTGCCAGGGTTGATTGCCAGGGTCCTAGGTGAGTACAGGCAGCAAACATCATTCTGGATTGTGAAAAATCTGAAGAAAGAACATCATTCGGACTGTTTTCCAGCTTCCAGGTAGAGCCATCCCTGAAAGAGCAGATCTCCTATGGTTGAAGAGCTTTGTAAATGTCCCTCAGCCATTATTGAAGTCTTAACTTTTTATCTTTAAAAAATTTCCTTAGCTAATTCAAACTCTTCTATGTTCATTTTGAGTCAATTTTAATTTGGCCTAATATCTATCTTCCCACCATATTCTAGTTGATAGAGGAGATGAGGGCTCAGCGATGTCCTAGTTTCCCAACTTTTCCTGTAAAATCTTTTACTCATTTTCTGTTAGAAGTAGGAGCACGTGGAAGAGGGCCAAGCTCTCTTTATTAATGCAAGAATGAGATCTTAATTACATTGGGCAGTAATGGCAGAAATGTTTTGCATTTGCCATAGTAAGGATATGCTTTCCATATTCTTGTTGTGGCAAATGCCACCAATGAAGCTAATCTTTATCACAGTTGTCCCAGGATAGCATTTAGTAGTGAAATGCAATCAGAATTAGTGATAAACTGGATTGTAATGCTGGTATGAATAAAATGAGATGAAGTAACTACATTTCTTTTTAAACATTTTATTGCTGTTTAGGTGAAAGTTTACAGAGCAAATTAGTTTCCCAGTCTCAGGAATTCCACCAGTCCCTATCAGACCAGTAAGCCTGGTCTTATTTATGAATTTGGATTTTGTTCTACATTTCTCTCCCACTCTGTCCATGACCTACTATTGTGGTCCCGCTCACAGTGGTCAGTAGTGGTAGCCAAACACCATCTAGATCTTCTGGTCTCAGGCTAGTGGAGGCCATGGTTCATATGGTCCATTAGTCCTTTGGAGTCTTCTCTGATGTTCTGCACTCCACTCCAGACGGGAGGAGACCAATTGTTGTATCTTAGATGGCCACTCACAAGTTTTTAAGACCCCAGTTGCTACTCACCAAGGTAGCATGTAGAACATTGTGTGTATGGATTATGATATGCCAATTGACCTAGATGTCCCCCAAGACTATGGTCCCTAGCCCTCAAGCCCGGTGTCTCGGTCCCAGGAGGTGTATGGTGATGACTAAGAAGTTTTCATGATTGTGTCTGTGTGTGCACTACTGCATACATGGGTATACTTGCAGCATGTACATAAATATATGTACGTGGGTGTACTTCTATGTGCCCTTCCACCCTTGTTAAGCTTACATATCTACTTATGTATCCACTCATACATTATTGTTTATTACTGTTGTTGCAGGATTGTATATGTATTAGTATTTACCATTGTTGCCTTTTACTCTTATGTACCTTTCAGTGTCTTCCTTTACCTTGACTTACCTTTACTTATGTTGTGCTGACTTCCCTCATATATGTATTATATGTATTCATTATGTATTATCTCTCCCTTCACCAAAGTTATTACGTGTCTACTATCTAGTTAGTGGTTTTCCCTCACCCCTCCCATCCCTGGTAACCATCAAAGACTGTTTCTGTCTGTGTGAAAACCTTTTCTTGACTTTTTATAACAGTGGTCTCATACAATAGTAACCACATTTTTGACCCTTTGTCTCTTAATCCTATCCATCCATACTTTTTGATGAACTTCGGTTTTGTTTCAGAGAGTACGCTCTTTCATACCTCTCCCTGCGAGCTTGTATTGGACTGTGGACCGCCTTCCTGTGTATTGTCCTTGTGGCAACTGATGCCAGTTCCCTTGTCTGCTACATTACCCGCTTCACTGAAGAAGCATTTGCCTCCTTGATTTGCATTATTTTCATCTATGAAGCAATAGAAAAGCTGATTCACCTGGCAGAGACCTACCCAATCCACATGCACAGCCAGCTGGACCATCTTAGCCTCTATTAGTAAGTGTGTTTTCTGCTTGTTTTCTTTTTTCTTTTTTTTAATGAGCAAAAGACCTTTTAATGGTTGGTGTAGTGTTCCAGGCAGTGCTTATAGCTTCTGTTAAGGAATTTGGCCCTCTGGGAAGCAGAGCTCAGATATGGATGAGGAGTCTTGGAGGTCTGCCAGAGGAGAACAATAAAAAATTATGATGGACAGGGTAGACTAAGAGTGAAACCCAGAGGGGACTCAAGAAATGCTTTCCAGAGTATGTCTTGGTTCCAGGCATTGAAACAAAAATAGGCTGCAAATGTAGTGGGGAGAATTTGAGTTAGTTATTGGGAGGAACTTCTTTGTTGCAAGGACTTCTGAGACCCTAGACCATGTTCTTATGAGAGCGAGTGGACTCTATTTCTCTGAAAGCATGTATAAGCAATTCTTGGGAATCATTAGGTAGCGATGTAGTAGTAATTCCTTGAAGATCCAGAGGTCTCTTACTCTGTATCATAAAGGTTTAGAAACCTATTTACTTACCTACATTTCTATTCAAGAGATTGTGTTTTCTTCATGTGTTCAACATAGTTTGGATCAGCTGGAAAGGAAAACCAATATCTGGCTATGTTTTTACCCATCTAGAAGAGTCTGGTCCTATAAATCAGTTCTCCTTTGGAGCAGTATTCTCCAAACTATGACTAAAGGTTCTCTTCCCTTAACTCTGCATATCAAGTTCCCCTCCTTTCTAGCTGTACAGTTCTGATGTGGAGGATCTGGATGGAAAGTGAATAATTTCAATCGGAAACTGCCTGAGAAAGCACACACCCTGGAGGCATCTACCAATTAGTCACAAAAAAACTGTTAACTATTCTAGTTATTTATTCATTAACCTTTTTAAAATCAGAATGAATAGAAAAAAATTATTAGAATTTTAAAAATTACTTTACTGAAAAAAAAAAAAAAAACCATTAGGGAGCATACTCTTTGAAGCCTAGTAGATTGCTAACCAGTATTGGAGTCTTGATTTCTGGAACATTCATTCTTTGATTTCTTTTTATCATTCATTTATTCATTTAACAAATATTTATTGAGCACTAATTATGTGCCAAGCACTGTAATAGACTCTGGAAACATAGTGGGTAAACATGACAGACAAAAGATCTTCTCTCATGAGGCTTATATTTTAGGGGGAGAAGACAAGATAAAAGTGACTAACCCTGGATTGAATAGACTTTGGGTATGGATACTGTAATTCTCTGTTAATAAAGCTCAAGATGGTGTTTTTCATAGTTGCATTTCACTGTTGGTTCAAATGGTGCTGATTTGAAGCTAGAACTCCCCAACTCTTTAAATGATTTTATGTTAATATGTGTGGAATTGATTTCTTAAGCATAAAATGTAGGACTTTAAAACCTTCCCTATTACTTTTCATTTTGTTGGTTTTCTCCTATTATTCTAACTTGTTGATAATTTTTTTGAATCTTAATATTGTCATGGTACCTCTTAGAAGGTACAATCATTAAATTAAATTTGCAGATGAAACGAAGTAGTCAGGGATGGTTGTGTCAGTTGATCATACTGGTAGTCACATCATACTGGTAGGCATAGAACATACTTGGAGTGAGAGGCAAGCTGGTGGTCAGTGGGACAGAAGAAGCAAGTGTGGTCTGGATAAGGAGGCCTGGGGAAGCTAACATAGCTGCCAGGTCTGGCTCCAGCACAAGCAGCCAGGAAATGGCCAAGGTAGTGATGTGAGGTAGTGCAGGGGACAATGCAGTGTCAAGAAGAGCTTGCATCATAATTGCAGGAGACTCCAATTTTCAGAGCAGAAACGTGACAGGGGTTATAGACAGCAAGCTATTGAGTCTTGGAGTAAGCTGTTGAGAGCTGAACTGGGGTCAGGTCCTCCTTGCTATGTTGATTAATTTTCATGGGAAGAGACTATGGTAAGCAAGGGAACCACCCAGGGATCATTCTGGGCACATCAGATGCCTAGCTTGTTTGTCAGCACAATTTAATCCTAGACCTTTGCACTGATTTCTGTCTATCTTTAGCAATGACAGACTGAAAAATTGGAGTATGATTGGACCTACAGATGGACCTCAACCAATGGGATCAAACTCAGAGGTCTGAAGTGGGCAAAGGCAGGACAAACAATTCAGGCTCTGACAGAGTCTTTAGCCCAGTCATGGATAAAATCATTTAACATTTGGTTGCTTTCTTCAGGAATGTTTCTTTTCCCCTCAGCTGCAGGTGTACTCTCCCAGAGAATCCAAACAATCACACTCTACAGTTCTGGAAGGACCATGACATCGTGGCGACTCATATTAACTGGGCTAACCTGACTGTTAGTGTAAGTCTGGGAGCTGCCAGATGCCCTAGCATTGTGATCATCAGGTTTAAGAAGAACTTCTAAGTGGAAGTAGGGTAGCCCTTTGGCAAGCTCTGGTATTTTCAAAAATAAAGCTTATTATTATTATTTTTAATATTAATTCTTATAGGCTTTCTTTTCCCTTTTAAAAGTTATCTTGCATATAAAAAGAAAAAAAGATCTCTCCCACACACACCTTGCCCAGTGGCTCTGCACTAAGGATATGTGGGGATGAAACCAGGTAGCGCAGGGGGCAGATCTAGGTTTCGTGGGGCTCGAAGAATATTTAAGTTTGGAGGCCTATTTAATAAAACAATACAAAGTTTCTAGAGCCCTTGCAGGACCTTGGAAGTAGTGTTTTCTCAGGGCAGTTCTGGTTTCATTCTCAAAAGGGTCTTAGGACCATAAATGGTCTCCCTACTTGGAAGGAACCTGTGCAAGCGAGAGCCTGACAGTTACATAGAGGCCAAGAGGGTGCTGCTGGCAGCCTGCATTCCCCAGCTACCATGGGATGATAGTGGGTGTTGGAATCAGAAGACAGCAGCTATTTATTTCCTTGTGCCTGTCTTTAATTACCCAGAATGCTTGTTCCTCTAGGAATGCCAGGAGATGCATGGAGAGTTCATGGGATCTGCATGTGGCCACCATGGACCCTACACTCCTGATGTGCTCTTTTGGTCCTGCATTCTCTTTTTCACCACCTTCATCCTCTCAAGCACCTTAAAGACATTCAAGACGAGCCGCTATTTCCCAACCAGAGTAGGTAGCTAGTCATGAGTAACCAAAATCCACATTTAACCAGAGAGTGCTGGCTGGGCATATGTTTCTTCTGTGTTTTTCAATTCTAATATAATAGAGCCTTTCTTAGCCTCCATCCTGCTTGCTTGGTGGATGGAGAGCTCCAAATGTCCTGATGAGCCACACTGTGGCTTTCTCTTCTAGTGTTTGTCAGCTTCTTTCATAGATGTGTGGTTCAGAATGAGGGGCTAATGCTTAAAAGCTTATTTTACCCCACTTAGGAAGATGGTATTTATTCAAGTTTTCTTTCATCCTTTTAATTATTATAGTAAATATATGTAACAAAGCATTTAACATTTCAACAATCTTCACATGCACAGTTCAATGACATTAGCTATGTTCATCATGTTGTTCAACCATCACCTTTTCCTTAAAAGTCTTTTAATTTAAACTTTTTGAGTTTAAGGTGGTAGTAGTGTTCTCTAAAGCTATAAAGTCTCACTTCCTGAATACTATTAAGTTTCATTTCCAGAATGCTGGCACACTTAGCATGCAATAGCTAGAGCTGGCTCCAGAATATGGTAATTTGGAGTGATCGCCTTGGATACTTTAAACAAAAAAAAAACCAAACCAGTTGCCATCAAGTCGATTCTGACTCATAGTGACCCTATAGGACAGAGTAGAACTGCCTCATAGGGTTTCCAAGGAGCAACTGGTAGATTTGAACTGTTGACCTTTTGGTTAGCAGCTGTAGCTCTTAATCACTACGCCACCAGGGTTTCCTTGGATACTTTAGAGGACCTCAAAGTCTTTTTCCAGGGATGGCTCTTGCAATAGCTTATGAAATCACTAGTCACATTGACAGCAGCAGCCAGCATGCTCCTGACTTGGTTCACATGACTGTTTGGAGCCTCAACAACCTTTCCCTGATGCAGATGGCATTGTTTGTATGGTGATCAGGGTTTCTGCCAGTTTTTGCAGGGCAGAATTAGAGGCCTAGTGTGGGGTGATTAAAGGGCCATTGCTTTAAAAAGCAGCTCAAATCAGGAGGAAATTGTGGTTTTTTTTTTGTAAGTGAGGCCTCAATAAGGCACATTCACAGAGGTGACTGTGTGAATAAGTGAAGGATTCAGCTGATTAGGTATTTACTATACAGACATATGTGACTAAAACACATTCTTAGGCCTCAGTGAGCCCACACATTAGTTAAGGAGACCACATATTCAATAAGTTCTGAGTCTTTATTTCCTATCTGGACAACTAGTAAGTGACAGTTATATACTGACTACTTGCTCAGGCCTGGGTTAAGTGCTATGTGGGATACAAGAAAAGTTTAGAACATGCTGTCTGCCACCAGGTAAGAAGGGAAGACTCATGAAACAATTAGATGCTATATGAGAGTGTGGTAAATAGTTGGATGCCAAACTGGGAGGTAAATGCTGAAGGAGTTCAAAGAAGAGAAGGACCACTGGGCTCCAGGACAGTCAAGATGGCTTCATAGGACGGGGTGGTAGATGTTCAGAGAATTTATGTAACATTCCAAGAAGAACTACAAAAACCTAGAAGGAAAGCAGGAAACCTCAGGTTTCAAAGAAAACAGAGTCAGGTTAAGATGTTAGTGGTGTTACATGTAGCTAAGATATGTTTTGCTCTATCTCTGTTGGAAGTTCTGACTAAGGTACATACTGGGCATTTGATAGGCACTGTATTTATGAAAGCTACACTAAACTATAAAGTGGGGCAGTCCTCTGAGGACGAATCTTAAATTGGATGGGAATCCCTAGCAAAATGCTGATATTAAAAAAATAATCAAAACTCAAAGAAATAGAAACATAAGTTTCATTCTAAGCATTCTATATGCATGCAGGGAGATCATTTTGTTACTTAAAACAAGTGGCTGAAAGTAGGCTAGTTACAATTGTTAAAAATAAACCTTTGAATTAGCTCAAAAAATGATATTTTTGATTATTTCATAATTTAATAAACAGTTTGCAAATTGTAGGAGTACGAGTCTCCTTACATGAAGGAATTGAAGAATAAGAAGCACTCCTGAGGACTGGAGATTTTACAGAAGCTTAAATATTTTTTTCTTAGTAAATACAAGTTTCCAAGGTGACCAGGTACTTAATGGTTAGCATTGAAAAGGTAACTCTTGAAGATTTAGTCCTGTACCCTTTTGTAGCTATGAGATCTCTTGAAATTAAAATTGAGGAAGCCCACTATTTTTCTTTTTCCATTATGAGATAATGGTTTTGTTATTGACTACCCTTTTCTAGCTGAAACGACAAATTTACAATGCTGCAGAGCAGTTTGTGGTGAAACAACTCATTACTTTTGCAGTTTGAATCAAGCTTTTTTACAGTTAATGTTTGGTTTTGTGGGTAAGAACAACCCCTTAAAATCAAAGTAAGATGTCTGTTATTATTATTTTTCTCCTTCACACTGGTAAGTGCGAAGGAGAAAAATAAAGCAAGAAAGGGGTACAGGAAGTGCTAGGGTAGAGGATAGTGACTAATTCTTAACCGGTTCATCAGAGAAGATCTCACACAGAAGGTGACACTTGAGTGAACCTAAAGGAGGTAAGGAAGATACTCAAGAGGTTACATAGAGGAAGAGCATTCCAGGTAGAGGTATCACCAAATACAGAGGCTGGGAAGTGGGAGTGAGCCTGGAATGTTTAAGAAACAGAAGGAGACTTGTGCAGCTGGCACAGAGTGAGGGAGGAGGAGAGCAGTAGGAGCTGGGATCAGGAAGACGATGGACACTAGTTTACGTGGGTCTCATAGGCCACAGAAGGACCTTCGGGTTTCAACTTAGTGAAATGAGGAGCCATTTCAGGATTTTGAGCAGAGGAATGACACAGTCTGACTTCTGTTTATGTATTATCACTTCAGAGGCTGTCTTCATAGAAGACTGTGGAGGACAAGGACAGAAGCAGGGTTAAGAGGCTGCTGTAGTTATCCAGGCAAGAGATGATGGTGACTTTGACCAGGGTATGAGCAGTGGAGGCGGTATGAAGTGCTCAGATTCAGTAAATGTTCTGAAGGTAGAGCCAACAGGACTTGCAGATGGATTGGATGCTGTGTGTTAGGGAGAAGAGGAGTTGATGGTGATGCCAAGATCTTGTCTGGTGCAAATAGACCTTGGCTGGTCCCAGAAAACCTTATTTCAAGTTTTCAGAACTAGAGCCTAAACTTAGACCTAAATGCTCCAAACAGAACTCTTCAGAGGTTGGGGTGGGTAACCTTAGAGTTTGTCAGAGGGTTCATTTTCCTCCATTACATCCACAGTTCATGGTCATTAATTTGAGTGTATTAATATATTCTTGTTTAAATATGCATATATTAATTCAACTATAAAATTAAAGCATTCTTCTGAGGATTTTCAAAACTTTTACAATCCTAAGTTCTTTTTTACCCTGTTTATCCTATTAAAACACTTTTCCAATTTTTTCTTATGCCAGGTACGCTCCATGGTGAGTGACTTTGCCGTTTTCCTCACTATCTTCACGATGGTGATTATTGATTTTTTGATTGGAGTCCCATCACCAAAGCTTCAAGTTCCTAGTGTGTTCAAGGTAAACAGATCTCAGGGTACTTGGTGCCCTCATGTAGTCTCATAGACTTTGATCCTAAGCTGATTTCAAAGGCCTTTCTATATCACAATCATGAGATTTTTTGCAGTCCTCCAAATGGCCCTTGCTGTTTTTGCCTTGCTATTCAGAAAAGCAAACTCTTCAGCCTCGGCTGAACATAGAACAGAAAAATTAAGGTTGTTTAATTAATGGAAGGCATTATTTATTATCACTAATGCCACTTATTGTTTTAATATGTTAAGATTTAGAACAGTGGAATGTGTACATTTACATAAATATATGCCAGATACTGTGGTAATGTGGGCCCCTAGAACAAGTCTGGTAAACAGCACTTTCACTGAGCATCAGCTGGTTAAGAGCATCAGGAAGATTGAAAAAGCTGAAGGATTCAGTCCCTTCCTTCAAGGATCTTGCCGTTGCTGAGGGGAATGGAATAACGAGGGGCCTGATCTGGGATCTGCGGCCTCAGGCAGAGTAATCTTTGCATCTCTTCAACCTGATTTCACTGTTTGTTTATATACTTCCATATAATCTATGGTATCTTTAAAAAAACCTATAGTAAAAGTAAGACAAATGATCAATAAATAGAAACTCCAAATCTACTTCAGTTTTGGGGCATGAATTGAGTAAACAGAGGAAGACGGAAAAGCTAAGCTCAGTTCCATAGATCCACACAGAGATCTGAAGAGCAGAGGAGAGAAAATTAGGCCTCTTCGGTGATGCTGAGAATCATAAAATAAGAGGCTGAGGAGGCCGAGGAGAAGGCAGATGGAATAAAGGCAGTCCCTGACTTGTAAATGCCCCCATACACATGACCTTTGGCTTCCCTTTCTCTTTTCTCTCTCTCTCCCTGAAGCAGTCCTGGTTAAAAGTATCTTTTTCCATATTGCCTGAAAAATTTACATTTTATTTTGCTAAATTTGCTAAAATGTCACCACTTAGAAATTTATGAGTTAACAAACACCCTCTTTTAAAATCTAATACCTCTGAGAATATGTCATTCTCACCTTTGTGTGAATGAGCACAATCAGCTTTCTAATACCTAGCTGAGGTCAGCCCTGCAGGAAGAATGGATTTTATGTAAAAATAGGTGATTTGGGAGCAATAAGCAGTCCTTGGGGAGATATTCTGTTGGATTGGCTTAAGATAGTCAGAAGAAACTGAGTTCTGGGACATCTGGAAGGAGGCATCTGGGAGACGTGAAAGAGATAAGAAAGAGAAATGGGAGAATGTCACAGAAAATGTTGCTCATGCCAGGTCCTGCTTTCCGGAAGGAGAGAAGACATTTTCTTTCTTCTTCCCTTTCCTATTAATACCACATGGGCCTTCAGCTTCCAAGACTCAATCTGAAAGCTAGTATTATTACTAATGTGTTGATGCTCTTTGTTAATAAGTTTTTATGTTCGCCTAAATACTTAACTACCTTTTAAAACATTGTTACTAAGGAAACCTAGGTTCTGTGCACTTTTAGAAAATAACCTCTAATAATTTTTACTTGGAAGTGTTGCTGAAGAATCTTTGAATCCTTGAGTCATGACCAATATGGAACCAAATGCTTCAGGCGTAACGGTCTTTGCTTTGTTTGCTTAGTTTTGGTCAGTTCTGGGCCAATTCATATCACTGGCCTTTTATCCTCCTGGACCACAGGGTGAACTTCTCTTAATCAGAGTACCTAGGAGGTTCTCAGGAGCTAGGAGAGTTCAGGTATGTCATGAACACCCTGAATTGTAGTCTTGCAGGAGCATTTGAGAGGGTCCTAGATCAAACAAGTCCCCAAGTTCAGCAGTCTTGGGCCCCTCTCTCAAGTCTCTGGTGCCTGGACCCCTGTATTCACTGCTGATAGAAGGCCCCTGGACCAGTTCAATGTAAGCCCAGAGATTCTGTGCAATTGGCTCCACTTTGCCTTCATCTGTGCTGTAGACACACATTTATGGCTTTGGAGGAAAGCAGTGAGAATCGTCTAAGCTACTTATATTTGTCTTTGGAAGTCTTCAAAACATTTTTTAACAACAGATTTAGTTGTTTGTATTTTTATTGGGCTAATGTTGTGACATAGCTGCTTTCTCAGTCCACTGGGGTTTGAGGAATAGGTGGAAGGAAGCATAGGAATAATGAATATTCCACAGGAAGTTTACAATAGAGGATTGTCTGTGTAAGGAGATTTGGAACAAGGTCATAGATTTTCTAAGGAGTTTCTCTCTCTCTCTCTATATATATATACTTTAAATATATTTATATTTAGTCTGGAATGAGAATCTTTTATAGATATTAAATAAATATATATAATTAAATAAATATATATATAAAAGATTCTCATTCAAGACTAAAAAGAAAAATGTAAATGTTGTGGTTCAGTTTGATCTGTTTTTCCCTAATGTCTAGTTCATTTAAAATACAGAAATAAATCCTTGTTTGTTTTGTTTGTTTCCCTTAGCCAACAAGGGATGATCGAGGGTGGATTATTAGTCCCATTGGCCCCAATCCCTGGTGGACTGTGATAGCTGCCATTATCCCAGCTCTTCTCTGCACAATCTTAATATTCATGGATCAGCAGATCACAGCTGTCATCATTAACAGGAAGGAACACAAGCTCAAGGTAACAAGAGGTTCCGACCTAGAAGGACCAATGGCAGGAATTGTAGAACGTGGATTAAAGTAGTCATGGAAAGGGCTCATAAGAGATTTTCCATTCCCTCCATTAATGACAAATATTGGTTTGGAGATGAGACTGGAGCGGAGCATAGCAGAATGATGGGAAAAAAAGCTTGGACTCCATTACTCTCCCCTCAAACCTGTGGGGAAGGTGGGCAGGCAGAATTCCTGGTGGTCCCTATATAGATACATGCTCTGGGTTAGGCGGCTGGACAACTTGTTTTCCTGAGGTTCAGGTCAGGGTCTAGGTGACTGTCATCTATAGGCTGATGTCTTCCCACTGGTATCCATTACTGGGGTTTCCAGACTGAAGTTTTAGAACAAGGATCATAGAGCCAAACCAAACCAAACTTAGCGCTGTCGAGTTGATTCCGACTCATAGTGACCCTATACGACAGAGTTCTAACTGCCTCATAGGGTTTCCAAGGCTGTAAATCTTTACAGAAGCAGACTGCCACATCTTTCTCCTGCTGAGCGGCTGGTGGGTTCTAATCTCCAACCTTTCGGTTAGCAGCCAAGCACTTTAACCACTGTGCCACCAGACCTCCCTGGATCCTAAAGAGGTAGGGTTAATTCTAGGACATTTATTAGTCAGAGACTTCATGCCATCCATCTCTATTCTTTCCTTACTCAGAATAGGCAACATCCAAATCTAGCAAGGATTGTAAGAACCCGGTAAAGACATTTATTCCCAGCTTCTGTAGTGTCTACTATCTAGAATGGTCAAGATGTGGCTTGGACTCTGGCTACTCTGCCAGGGAAGGATGAATCTCTAGGTGTGTAAGACCCAGGGTGGGATCTAGGGGCACTTGGATAAAGAATGGATATTGGTGTGTATAGGACAGACTAAAGTTTCCCTTTTTCCTCTCTGTCCCCTCCTAACCAGGAGGGGCTGCAAGACTCCTTTGGAATCCCCTCCCTACATTGGGTCTGAAACCCTTAGCTCACTGTTTTATGCCCCACTGCAGCCATCCCACTGCTGGTAACAGAGACTCTGTTTCCCCACAGAAAGGCTGTGGCTACCACCTGGACCTGCTGATGGTGGCCATCATGCTGGGTGTCTGCTCCATCATGGGTCTTCCCTGGTTCGTGGCTGCAACTGTCCTGTCCATCACACACGTAAATAGCCTCAAGCTGGAATCTGAGTGCTCTGCTCCAGGAGAACAGCCCAAGTTCTTGGGTATCCGAGAGCAGAGAGTGACAGGCCTTATGATCTTTGTGCTGATGGGTTGCTCAGTCTTCATGACAGCTGTATTAAAGGTAATCATTAATTCACTTGTTCAGCAAATATCAAGTGTCTGATTTGTGCCAGGCATTCTACTAGATGCTGGGAATACAATGGCACACCCAAATCCCTGCCCTCAAAGAGCTTGTGGGGCAAGACAGATAATTTGTAGTTAAAAAAACAAATACGATAATTACAGAATGTGATAAATGAAATAAAGGAAATCTATAGTGCTATGTGATGCTGTAGATAATAACCAAGACCAAACTAGTTGCCGTCAAGTCGATTCTGACTCATGGTGACCCCCTGTGTTTCTGAGTAGAACTGTGCTCCATGGGGTTTTCAAGACTGTGAACTTTTGGAAGCAGATCAGCAGGACTATCTTCCAAGGTGCCTCTGGGTGGGTTTGAACTGTCAACCTTTCAGTTAGTAGTCAAGCACTTAACATTTGTACCACCCAGGGACTCTACCTATAGATAATAAGGGGTGCTATTTTAGTTAGAGTGGTCAGAGAAGGCCTCTCTGAGGAGATGACATTTCGGAAGAGATGGAGCTAGCCATGTTATGGATGGTGGGGGACGGCACGGAAGAAGGGAAGAAAAGCAGTCTAGTCAGGTTCCAAGGTGGGAAGGAGTGCCATGTGGAAATATCAGGGCCATGGGGTTCAAGGGTGCTGAGTTAGGGCAAGAGCACAGTGAGATGAGGTTAGAGAGTGGGCAGGGGTGGATTATGCAGGGCCTTGTCCACCATGGTAAAGGTTAACAGGAGAGGAACATGATCCAGTTAGTATTTTTAAAAGATCACTCTGGCTGTTGTCCAGAGAATAAGTTTTTAGGGTTGGGGAAGAATAGAAGCAAGGAGACCAGTTAGGCTGTTACAGGTGAGAGATGATAAGGATTGGATAAGGAAGGTGGTAGTAGTAGGGATAAATAAAAAGGCATGACTTCTATGTATCTTGGAGGCAGAACCAAAGGTCTTGTTGGTTAACTGGATATGGAGTGGCGGGGCAGGGGCAGGGAGAGGGGGAGGAAAATGGAAAAATCAAGGATATATCCTAAGTTTCTGACTTGATCACGTGAGTAGAATATAATGCATATGTTAAGATGGAGAAGACTGCATGAAGGAGGAAGTGATTTTGTGAGGGGTAGGGCTTGACTGAATTTTCAGTGAGATGCCTGGAGGCATCTGAGTAAAGATGGTACAAGAGGGTTCTGGGATAAAGATATAAATTTGAAAGTCAACAGCATATAGGTAGTATTGAAAGCCAAGGGAATAGATGAGATTACTCAGGGAGAATGGTGGATATAAAAGAGAAGAGGGAAGAGAAGAGCAGAGTCTGAGGAGCTCCAATACTTACAGGTTAGATAGAGAAGACTCAGAAGGAGCTGACAGAAAGATAAGAGGGGAAGGAAGAGGGTGTGGTGTCAGGGAAGTTAAATGAGGGGAGTTGTTTCAAGGAAAGATTGATTAGAAGTTGTCCAGAAAGATGAAGACTGAACAAAGGCCATTGGATTTGGCAACATGGAAATTTAACGTGGAGTGATGGTGCAGAAGCCAGATTACAGGGGCCTGAAGAGTAAATAGGAGAAGAGGAAGTATGGGGAGTGTGTGAGCAGAAAAAGGAGCAGTGGCTAGCATCAGATATGGGACTTTTGTTTTTTTGGAAAGATGGAAGATACCTTGAACATGAGAAAATTGTTATTTTTTTGTAATTATAAGGCTTGCACCTGAGAAAAAGGGATGAAGAGAAAACCTCTCTAGCTCTATTTCCAAGTCCCCACCATTCTGGAACATGTTCTTCTCTGTCCTCTTTTTAGCAACTCTTTGACCACCATAGCCTGTACTGCAAGTGCCCTTTATGGGCGAAAGGGATGGTAATTGAAAGGAATGGTAAACATTTTTACACCGTCTTCCTGTCTCCATACTTTATACTTAACCTTACCACCTCTCTTCACACTTCTTTTCCCCTTCCACTCTCTGCCAGTAGCCCCACTCCCACTCCCACTCGTGGTCTTGGCGCCAACTGGAGGAAACCAAAGGTTGTTGCTCCTCCAGATGTGTGACCACAGAAGCATGATGGTGGGGCATTGCCTGGCCTTTTTGCAGCCGTCTCAGGAGGACTCTTTTAGGACACCATGCAGTAGTTCTACAAACAAGGTTTTCACTAAATTGAGAGGTCTACTCACTCTAGAGCTGGAGCAACATACAATCCAGTGGAGATTTTCTAATTCTGAGAGGAATTATGTTTGAGAATATTCTTTAGCCCCAGAAAAAAAGCAAGTCAAGTTTAGTCTTCAGTTCTGAGACTTGCCTTGCCTTGATTCTATAGGCTTCATTTCCCTGCTTCCTGGTGCTGCCCTGAAGATTACCTAAGTTGATAGATGTGAAAGTGCTTGGCAAAATTATAGTCAAGTGTAGTATATATATCCAAGTGCAATATAATAATATTAATATTTCCCCCAAAATTATTCCCTCTCTGACAAGATACCTCCCTATTCCTGTCCTCAGGTTTCTGGTCAGTAAACAGGGAAATTTTTTTAGTCTATGTTAAAATACATCAACTCCTTGAAGAATTGATTATGTAATAACAAAAGATTAAAAAGGCGTCAGTTCTGTAAAAGAGAGATGTGTATCTGTGTGTGTGTGTGTGTGTGTGTGCCCATCCCCATGGAGGAAAAAGAGCCAGACAGGGGGTAAGATGTTAGCCCTATGATTTAACCAGGTCCAGGTTACACTTTCCAGTGTGATTATTTCAGAATGAAATGATTTTTATCATTGGAAACGTCTGCTTTTGCTTCTAAGTCATGCAAAGGCAGCAGAAACTAATGCATATATGTAGCAATTTTGTGACTTTGTTTCCTTCCTGAAGATTTAAAATTTTATATTGTCTTAAATGTGCTATGCATGATACAAAATTTAATTTCTGGTTCTTCTGCTCTTCTGTCTCCAGTTTATTCCCATGCCAGTACTCTATGGAGTTTTCCTCTATATGGGAGTCTCTTCACTACAGGGAATTCAGGTATTGTATGGTTCAGCAAGGGCAGTTCTTTTCATTGTCAGCTCACTTGTCCTGGCCAGGGAGGAATGGCTACCCAAGGGAAGCACAAACCAATTCCTGAAAAATCATTTCCTAGTCTTGCTGGCTTGCTATTTTATACATTTCTTTGAATATGGGCAAAATAAAGTCATGTTGGCATGAGGGTACAGAGACTCCCAGGGTGGTCTGGCTTGATGGTATGGTTCCAATCATTAATTACTCAACAGATAATTATTGGCACTTACCACAAGGTGCTGGTAAACTTGGATCTAAGAGGTTGCTCAAGGACCAGACTGGCTTCCTCCCCTACAAATGAGACAGCACTAGTTGTAGTGCCAGGCTAGAGTGTGAGAGTGAGGGTTTAACTTTGGGGGTGCATTGGTAAAGAGACCGGGGCAATAGTGGGAGTTGCTACAGGTAAGCAGAGGTCACTTCCTGTCGTGCTCTACCTCATTTCTCTTTCTGAGTCCCTCAAGCAGAGAAAATCAGGAGCTTGTCACTAATAACTTGAGTACCTCAGGTTATAACTTAGCTTCTTTTATTGGTGACTGGACACTTTTTGTTTTTCTTATACACTAACTTCTAATATGAACTTGAGAAGCTTGTTTAACCTCTCTGTCTCTGTTTTCCTTTTTATAATATGAGGATGGTCATATTTTCTATATCCAGAATGTTATGAGGTTTCATTTGATCTTTTTACTATAAATAATCAATGAAGAGCCCCTAAATCCTCAAAGAACAAGTGAAATATTTGGTTTTGATAGTAAGAAGAAAGATGGAGTTGGCTTATTTTGTTTTCATTACTCCCTGAGAAACACCTCTCTCAGGGTCACAGTATAAGACAGGAGAAAAAACTTTGAACGTAGAATTAGAAAAAAACAAAACCAAACCCATTGCCGTCAAGTGCATTCCTACCCATAGTGACCCTATAGGACAGGGTAGAACTGCCTCCATAGGGTTTACAAGGAGTGGCTGGTGGATTTGAACTGCCAACCTTTTGGTTAAGAGCCAAATGCTTAACCACTGCACCGTCAGGGCCCCAGAATTAGAAAAAATGGATTAAAATATTGACTCTGCTACTTACCAACCTTGGCCAAATTACCTGATCCCTCTGAGACTCAGTTTCCATTTCTGTTCAGTGGAAACAGCATTACTGACTTTCAGAGCAGGTGATAGAATAGATGTGAATGGGTCTAATCAGGCTTCTGACCCAAGAAGGCTCTTAATAATACATGTTGGTTCCCCGCTTTCAGTTCTTTGACCGTCTAAAGCTCTTTGGGATGCCTGCAAAACACCAGCCAGACTTTATCTACCTGCGTCACGTACCACTACGCAAAGTGCACCTCTTCACCCTCATCCAACTGACCTGCCTTGTCCTGCTCTGGGTCATCAAGGCCTCTCCAGCTGCTATTGTCTTTCCAATGATGGTGAGGTTTTTGATTATTGTTTTTGTCTTTGCAGCAGCAACGGCAGCATTTTCTTTGGGTCCTGAAGTTCTGGATGCAGATGTGTAGCAGTTTGCCATGTTTATTTTTCAAGGCTACCAGATCTTTTTCTTAGTGAATATAACATGGAGAGGATTCTTCATGTTTGCAGTAATTTACATATTACTTCAGAATAATTTAGCTTCACTTGAGGATTTATTGCAATCAATAATGTCTAAAGTAGTGGGGAGATGCCCTTTTTAAGTCACTGGGAGAGAGGGAGTTAGCATTGAAAAGTGACTGGGACCTCTTTATCTCTTTTCTACCTGAGACAAAGGCTTTGAAAAGGAGACCAGGGAAGCTGAACTGTGTGTGGTCCAGCAGGTGACAGACCAGCTGTTTCCTAAAACCCAGGATGATGATGAAATTCTTGATGCTGCCCTCTCTAACTTACCTGTGTCATAAGGATGCTGAGAATTCAATGGGCTGTTTGAAAGTTATCCTAAATAGGGCCTCTAGAGAGACATGGCAATGAGGGTTATGTTTGTTTATTCAGGTACTTCTTGAACTCTGTCTTACTAGGAGAATATTAAAGAGTGAGGAATCTGGAGGGGAGTTTCTTTTTCCTTAGTCCCCCAAATCCACACCCTACTGATGGGTTTCTCAATTTTGTCAGAGTACATGCAGGGCTCTACATTTGGATATTATGTTCAGGGACTGAGTGTTTGGTTAAAGAATTCACAAGTTCCTGGGTATGCTGGAAGGGATTCTACCAGTTTTGGATTTATTACAGTAGTCATTAAAATTAGGGAGAAATATGATTGAATTTCATAAGCCTGATTTGCCTCATTCCTTGTCCAGCCACGAGATGTAGTTGGTGAACACCAGTCAATCCCAGCAGGTCATTCTGTGGTTATTCTTGGTTTGCCTTTGGCTAAAATGGTTCTTATGGGAAGAAAGTGGAGTAGCAGTTGAAACACCCTGAACCTGTCCTGAAGACAGGTCCTGTCTATTGAAGAAATTAGCTGTCAAATTTTAGGCAAGTCACTTCCTCTCCCTGGGCCTCAGTTTCCTCATCTGTAAAAATGAACATCAGGCCAGGCCAGAGGGCAGAGACAAAAACGACTAGTGATGCATGATGCAGACATAAAGCAAGATTTTTTTTGTTTGTTTGTTTTTTGGGGAGGGGAAAAAACAAGAAAAGGAACAGAGGGAATAAAGATGATTCTTCAAGGTCTCCTCCTCCCTTGACAAGGCATGCTTGGGCTGGGCAAGGCATACCAGGGCAGTACTCCTATAGAGGCTCTTCACCCCAGTACTGCCCTGTAGGCCTTCCTGTGGAACCCAAGCTAGGGGAAGGCAGATGTTAGGGTCATCTAGCAGATTAACACTTTCTCATCTCACTGAGAGAATTAAATTAGCTTCTAAGTTGCAGGGTTGTTATGATGACAGTTAAATAAAATATTGTATTAAATACCTCAGAGGGCATTCAATAAATGGCAACTACTATGATTATTACGAATTTGATTTTGCTTGGAATGTTCTAGTCTACTGTGAAAATAAGACGTTGCTCTAAATCCAGGAAGGAAATTGGCCCCTTTAACCCACTTTCTTTCTTTATTTTTATTCAGGTTTTGGCCTTAGTCTTTGTCAGGAAAGTCATGGATCTCTGTTTCTCTAAGCGAGAGCTGAGCTGGTTAGATGATCTCATGCCTGAAAGCAAAAAGAAGAAGTTGGACGATGCCAAAAAGAAGGCCAAGGAGGAAGAGGTCATAGTCCTTGTATCAAGTGAACACTCTGAGGCAACCTCAAATTACAGAACATAGGAAGGGCTACATGAAAAGTCAGCATGTCTGGAATCCCAAGGGTTATGTTTAGGAATTAGGAAGATAACTCCAAAGATGTTCTCAGCTGAGAATGGATTAAGGATTCTTGTCCCTGTCTGTCCTTCATTATCAGATTTGATAACCAGTTGTTTTTTCCGTTGTCTACTGTCTGCTTACCAGTTTACACCTAGAATATGAACACAGACCCTGACTTATTATCAGATCTGATGGCTTATGTTCTTCCAAAAGGTCAAATTGGACAAGTATATAAAGCCCATTATTTTCGGAGAGTATTTACGTATCTAATTGCAGATGGTGCTGTGATTTGCATCATGCAAAGACAACTTGCATAGGACTTTTTTGTCCTTTCTCATTTCCCTCAGCACTTAGCATTTTGCCGTCCACGTAATGAGCCCTCAATAAATGGCTTATACCGGCAAAGAATGGATGTGTAGCAAAATGAAAATTAACAGAACAAGAAATGAATGAGCAGGAAAGTGTTTCCAAATACATTTAATGCTCTAGTTAATGTCCTTTGAGATGTATTTTAAAAAACATTTTTTCTAATATCGTGAATTATAAAAACCTTATATCATTAAATCAGCTTTAACAATTGTAACTGTAAGCATAAAAGGAATGGAAGAAACCTTAAAAGAGAAGATTGATAAATTCACTACACAAAATGTAAAGCTTTCAGGCTTTTTTTTTTAAAATACCAGGCAAGGTGAGACAAGTTAATATACTTTTCAAATAATTTTTATAAATTAATAACGATAATGTAATAAAAAATGAGCAATGGATATAGATAATTTACAAAAGAAGACATACAAATAGCTAATTAGCTTATGATTAAAAAGTTCATTCCCATTAATAATCAAAGAAATGAAAATGTAAAGAAGACCACATTTTTTCACTTTTCAAATTGGCAAAGATTTTTTTAAAAGATAAAAATAACCAGTGTTGGCAAGACTGTGATTGAAACAGGCTTTTTTATCCACTGCAAGTGGAAGTATAAGTTGGATAAATATTTTTAGAGAGCAGTTTAACAGAGTCTTAAAAATGTATATGTCCTTTGGCCCAGCCACTCTAATTTTTGGATTTGTTCTAGGGATATAATCAGCAATGTGGACGAAGGATTTTAATTATGGTGTTGTATAAAATAACAACAACAAAAAGGCAAATTATAGTAAATATATTACATTGGAATATTGTACAACAGTTTAAAAATCAAATTTTAAAGAATATTTAATGATATGTGAAGATGTTTATGGCATTGTATGTGAAAAACATATAGGATAGAAAATGAATATATAATAAAAATATCAATTTTATACACACATATTAGAAAAAAAGATTGGAAGAAAACAGACCAAAATGTTTATTGTAGCTCTCTCTGAGTGGTGAGATTGTAAATGTTTTTTATTTCCTTCCTTCCTTGTGTCCATCCTCCCTCCTTCCCTTTCACAAATATTTATTCAATGCCTACTCTGCTCTGGTCACTGTTCTGGGCTGTGGTAACATGGTAGTATACAAGACAGACGGAGTCCCTGACCTCATGGAGCTTACATTCTCATGAAGAAGACACACTATAAACAAATAACAACAACTACAGATATATATATAGAGAGAGAGAGAGCCCTGGTGGCACAGTGTTTAAGACCTCGGCTGCTAACCAGAAAGTCAGCAAAAGGTCAGCTGTTCAAATCCACCAGCTGCTCCTTGGAAACCCTATGGGGCAGTTCTACTCTGTCCTGTAGGGTCACTATGAGTCTAAATTGACTTGACGGCCATATACATATATATATATACATATATATATATATAAAATATATATATAGTGATAAGTTTTCAGAAGAAAAATAAAGCAGGCTAAAGAAATAGAATGGGAGTGAGGAGTTATTTTATTTAGGGTAATCAGGGATAACTCCTCTGAGGAGACATCTGAGTAGAGATCAGAATAAAGTCAGAAGCATGTTTTGAGACTATCTGGGAATAAGAACATTCCAAGCCAGGGAACAGCAAGCGCAAAGGCCTTGAAGCAGGAATGAGCTTGGTGGGCTTGAGGAACATTGAGATAGCCAGCATGGCTGGAAGGGAGAAGGGAGGCTAGTTAGGGAGACTAGTTAGGTGTCTCCTATAGTTCCAATTGTTCAGGCAAGAGGTGATGGTGAAGGTGGAGGAGGGGGTGAATGTGGTTGAATTTGGGACTTATTTTGAAGACAGAACTGACAGGTTTTGCTAATGTATGGGCAGGTATTAGAGAAAGAGAGGAAGCAAAGATGATGTCTAGATTTTTGGCCTGAACAATTGGATGAATATTATTAATATGCTGAATATCTTTGTACATGTTTTTTTTCCTTTGTAATCATTTCCTTTAAATTAGTGGAATTTTTTTTTAAGGAAAACATTTTATTATGGAACATTTCAAATATATACAAAAGTAGAAAGAAAAGTCAGTATTCACATTTATCCAATTGTCTTATTATTTTTAACAATTTGTTTGAATTGGGATCTAAATAAGGTCTATATTATAACTGGGTGATATATTTCTTAGGTGTTTCTCTCTTTCTTTCTTCTTGTTGGATTTCTTTGAATTATAAAATTTCTCACCATTTGGATTTTGCTGAATGTATCCCTTGGTGTTATTTAACATGTTTCTCTGTCCCCTGTATTTCTAGTAAATTGGTAGTTGGATCTAGAGGCTTAATCAGATTCAGGTTCTTTTTTGGGTTTTTCAGGTTCTTTTTTTTTTTTTTTTTTTTTAATACTATTCCATAGGTACAAATATCTGGTTGTCCCTTTTTGCAATGAGTCAAATTTATGAAAGAACATAATTCTACTCTTTTATAATAAATGTGAGAGAAAATTAGGTAGGAATTATGATGGTAGAAGGAGAATGGGCTGCTGAAGACTTGTGGTCTTACTTTGGTCCGAGATATAATAATGTCTTCTTTTCTTCCAGGAGGCTGAGAAAATGTTAGAAATGGGGGGAGACAAGTTCCCTTTAGAGAGCAGGAAGTTACTAAGTAGTCCTGGAAAGAACATCAATTTCAGGTAAAACTTACAAAACGCCAAGGAGTTTAGTGTCTGGTTATTCTATAAACATTCTGGCTTTGTGGTAGGGTGGGGTGGGATCACAAATACTGTTGCTGGTGTAAAGAATCAGATATTCAGCTTCCCACCCTAGTCCCGTCCCATTAAAACACCTTTTCCTTTCATGGTTTAGTGAATGCCTGCTATGTACCAAGTGCTTGGAGTCCCAAGGAGAACAGAAGTAAGGGAGCCGATGTACTGAGCACCTCCTCTGGGCCAGGACTGTGCCAGAAGGTTTACATATGTGATCTCATTTAATCTTTACAAAAACCGTCTGGTATAGTCTCATTATCCACATTTATTTAAGTGAGAAACTGAGGCTTAGAAGGTTTTAGGTTATTAGTGCAAAATCATAAATCTGCTAAGTAGAATAATTAAGATTTAAATCCTTATCTTTTTACTTCTCAAACCAGTGCCCGTTTGCCCTACTCTGCCACCTTCCAAAGGTGAATAGAGTGTGATCTTTGTTCTCATGTTTGAGCAAGCCTTTGGGGATGGGTAGAGACAGCCCATTCCAGATTGATTCATGGCATCAATAGTCCTGGCAAGGAGCTCTGGTGGTGCAGTGGTTACAGTAAGTGATCAGCTGCTAACCAAAAGGTTGGCAGTTTGAACCCACCAGCTGCTCTGCAGGAGAAAGATGTGGCAGTTGGCTTTCGTAAAGATTACATCCTTGGAAACTCTATGGGGCAGTTCTACTCTGTCCTGTACGGTCACTGGAAGTCGGAATCAACCTGACGGCAATGGGTTTTGGGTCTTACGATCTTGGGAGCCAAGGAGGAACTGAACTGGAATCACAGCAATTCCTTACTTCTTTTTTTTTTTAATTGTACTTCAGGTGAACGTTTACAGAACAAATAGTTTCTCATTAAACAGTCAGTACACATATTGTTTTATGACATTGGTTAACACCCCCATGACATGTCAACCCTCTCCCT